GAAGACAGGTAATTTTTCGAAGTATTTTATGGAGAAATTTTATGAAAGATACACACTACAATAAAACCAACGTGACCTAAGGAGCAAAACCAGGTGGTGGATGACCAGGAACCAAGAGGAAGAGGCCTGGCTCTGCTCCAGGCCAGGCACCCCCTCTACTTTCTGGGAGTTTTCCTATCTGAAAAGTATCACAAGATGACGCATTTTTGAAGCTTCCAGCAAAGATCAAAACTTTCACGTATCACTAATTATGTGTTTTCCCCTAAAACTTCCAAAGTACTTCATGACTATTCAAGAGGTTTTGAGTTGTTAGGGTATCTGAATTTAAGGGGAGAAAAAGTCCAAAGTTACAACTGCAAAGCATCAGGGAGTTTCTGAACAAGGAAACGTTTTACAGACAAAACAACTCAGCGCCAACTTCCACTGCAACATCCTGAGTACCAACTTTTTTTTTTTTTAAGGAAGATTAGCCCTGAGCTAACTGCTGCCAATCCTCCTCTTTTCACTGAGGAAGACTGGCCCTGAGCTGACATCCACGCCCATCTTTCTCTACTTTATATGCAAGACGCCTACCACACCATGGCTTGCCAAGCAGTGCCGTGTTTGCACCCAGGATCCAAACCCGTGAACCCCGGACCACCGAAAAGTAGAACGTGCCAACTTAACCGCTACGCCACCGGGCCGGCCCCTCAACTTTTTTTTTAAGCTACACAATTTTATTATGCATCTAAAGTAAATTCCTCACTTTTGTCTGTAAAAATTCTAAAAATGAACACTTTTCAGAGGGTTAATATTCAAATAAACAGGAATTAAATAAACCACGATTTCAACTCATCACCATGATAAACTCTGGAGCTGAAGACCAGAAAAGTTCTAAATCTATGGTAATCATTCAAAACAAAAATTTTCCAATTTCTCAAGTGAGTGTGATTTAAGCAGTAGCTGAAGGTCAAAATGCAGCATTATCATCAAAGAACCAACCATCAAGAAGAGTTGCAGCAATGTCTTGGTAATTCTCACTTTACAATAAAGACATCATTGAATTCAGAGACATAAGACAACCAAAAGTAAAATACATTTAATTTATCACCTAGTCTAGGAAGCTACTCTGCCCAACACTCAAGAATTTCAACTTAACAGAACGGTTAGATAAATGTGTGAATCTGTGATTTTTTTTTTCTTTTAAAAGCTGGTATCTTCTTTCACGAGGCTGGCAAAGTGGGCTGGGAAACACTACTTGAGCTATCACCTGGGAAAGGGATAGTGTTTCTTCCCCACCCACCACCACTGTACATACACAGTCCTTTATCTTCTACCTAGCCAGGCCTACAGCACATCAGCATGGTGGGGAGGCAACCTTCCCAGTGCAGGTGACTCCTCCACGCTCTTGTGTTTAAAGACTGAAGTCTATCACAGAACAGGAACGAGGAAAGCATACAGTACGGTGGAAATGACCTAAAACTGGTTTGTGGTGATGGTTGCACATTTCTTGAAAGTTACTGAAAATCACTGAATTGTACATTTACAATTGATGAATTTTATGGTATGTAAATTATACCTCAATAAAACTATAAAAAAAATAACTAGCAAGGGGTTAAGAGTGGGATGGTATGGCTGGAAAATGGAGCGTATCTAAGAACCAAAGAGACCCAACACATAATTGATGATACATCCAAAATACAGATCTCTACTGCCCTCTGACCCCCACAGCTAGCCTATTAAGCGTTCCCTCTTTCTTCCCTTGACATGTTCCTTAGGAGCTTCTGACGACCTTCCTTTCATTCTGCTCTATCCTCCTCCAAAAAGAAGAGAAAAGACCTTCTGAGTCACTTTCATGATACCACCCGCAGAATTAAACACATCTGGTACACACAGCACTAGGGAAAAGTCAGCAGGTGATTTTGTAGAAATCAATTCTCCTTGTCCAGAAGAAATGGGGGGTGTGTGGCGGGGGGGGGGGGGGGGCACGATCTAATTGATTCCCCAAGCCAGACTGCTCCAGCCTCCCACAGCACTTTCTTTATACCCCTTAGAACCTTTGTAACTTGGATTGTGGTCATTCTGGTAGGTCTTACCAATCTTTTAACACCACCTTCCCCTCCACAATGTCTTGAGAAGCCTCTTCCACATTCTAGGAATTTAATATATCTTCTTTGGATGAGTAGCAATATTTTCCTAATCAATTGAGGAATATCAATCTTATCCTCAAACAGTAACTGTGTTCTACCGGACTACCACTAATTCAAAGCTGACATTACTTAGTTGACTGATAGACAACAATGACAATTATGACAAGAATGATGAACAAACTCCAAAATGGCCACTGGCTAGCCAACCAGCTAGGCTGTTAAATACGAACATCAGCTGAGAGCAATAAAACCCAACGTCTTTCTTTTTTTCTTTTTTTGGTTGAGGAAGATCCACCCTGAGCTAACACCCATGCCAACCTTCCTCTATTTTTAGTATGTGGGCCACCAGCACAGCTGGGCTGCTAACAGAGTGGTGTAGGTCCATGCCCGAGAACCAAACCTGGGCCACTAAAGTGGAGCACACTGAACTTAACACCACTAGGTCACCAGGGCCAGCCCCAAACCCAATTTCTACACCAGTCAAAAGGTTAAAAAAGCCCTTTTATCATTTAAAAACTATTCTAAAATCACAAACTTTTGCCTATTACCCAGCGTCCAAAACCCAACAAGTTTTCTAATGCCATCAGCGCAGAAAATGTGAAACCTCTGAGGTACCAAGAAAATTACAAGCAAAAAAAAAGGAAAAACATAGCAGTAACTAGTGTCACAACGAAATTAACCAACCGTTAATACACTGGACGGGACAGGATGCAAACCTGTCAAATTCACCTTTCCACATGAAGCCCATTCATAGCATAAAAAGCCAAAGTTATTTGCCTTCTGATTAATGATGACTTCCAGAATAGACCTGAAACAGCAAAATATTGGCAATAATCAAGATAAAACAAACTTAGGCTAAATACGGGTATGACGAGTTCCTAAGAGTTCAAGTCCTCAGATCTCTAAAACACGTGTTCAAGCCCCATTCAATCACAGACAACAAAAAACTACATGAAGACCCTTAAAGATAGTAGTTGAGTTTCCTGTTCCTGAGGAGACTCTAAAATATTCTCATTCTTAATAATTTAATATATTTGTTTAAAAAACAATTTCACCGTCATCATCTATGACTCTGAAAAAACTTTAAACATCTATATTGTTTTTAAAGACAAAACCTTCCACGTGCTTCCAAAAAGTTGATGAGTCAGATTTTTTCATACACGTAGTAACTGAAATGCATTTCATTATGAGATGATTATTCCCAGCAATACAGCAGATGTAAACTTTTGAATTTGGTTTAAGTTTCTGTTCACCAGCAGAGTTCTCAAGTTCTTAGGAGTTTCCTAGTCATTTACTTGAACATCATCTACGGTAACACTCAAAGCAAAACCACAATAAAGAGGTTTGGCCTCTGAGGGATTCTACACGTAAAAAAACATTACTCATAAATAAAATACAATCACTATTGCTTTAAATAACAAATACATTTCAAAACTTTCACGCAATTTGATGGAATTCCCTGTTTTAGACGGCAACACAAAATCTACTAAGCTCCCAAGGAGCGTTACTCATTTTAACTAAATCCATTCTATGATAATACAAAAAACTGACAGGAACTTGCTTTAAAAACTAGTTATGGGGAAATATTTTTAGTTCTTGAGCAGTTTTATTCAAAGGTCTCATTACTTAAAGAGTTGCTGGAATTCACAGAACTGTTCCACAGCAACTGGACCAGTTCATCCCAGTTATAGCCTTTAGGTTGCCAATACCCTATTTAACCCCAGGTGGAAACGAAGCAATGAAACCCTAATGGGACGGGACACACTCACTTGGCCAAGGAACAACATCCAGACAGAACTATGGAGTACTACTGCACAGTCGTGATATCAGAATGCCACCCATTCAGAAACAAGTACTTGATGAAATGAGGCTCTTGGCATCAACTTTAAGTCTTCAAGGATCCGCTAGGAACTCACTCACTCTCTCTCGCTTTCACATGTACAGATACCCCAATGCCTGCCCATTCAATAACACCCAGGAATAGTTTAACTTCAAATTCTAACATCACTGAAACAAACTCCGGATGCAAGCGAGAAGGTGACTGGAAGAGCACAAAATCAGCTTTGCCATCTTATCCAAGCATATCTAACTGTTAAATCTGGAGTAGTTCAACTCGTTTTGATACCAGATGCCGTTTACTACCTTCACCAAAATAAAAACGAATTCTTTAAACATTCTTTTCATCACAATACAGCTTTAAACACAAACTTCAATATAGTCACACTGTTCATTTCACCATTTTGCAAAACCGTTCTCCATCACCAACCACTCTACATAAGCTAATCAGACCAAAAAAAAACCAAACTGACAGCTCAGCCTTCCCAAAAATGCACTTTCTTCATCAAACCCCAACATTTATTTTGAAGCGCAAGAAAATAAGAGACATTTGCAGCTCAAGGCAGGAAAATACAACCAGCCTTACGGTACTACCACCAGGAAATTTCCCAGAGAAGAGAAAAATAATTCAGGACAAGCAAATTAAAAACACTCCGCACATGACAAAAATAAAAAAGATCTAACGTCCTACAATCCATCGCAAAAGCACCGCTCCCTCTCTTTTTCGAGCCCATACCAATAAGCCAATGGACACAAGTGTCAAATAAATCCAGCGTCTGTTTGAAACAGGACGAAAACCCGGAAAAATTCCCTCCCATAAATCATTTAGTGAACACGAGCCTTTGCACCCAACACGAAACACCCACCGCCAGAAATGCACATCACCCACCCACCCCCCGCCCCAAACGCAGAAAAAGCCGTCATCAACAAGTTGGAAAGAGGGCAGAAAGTATAGCTCACCACCGTCTCCCCCACCTTAAGAGGAAAAAAAGAAAAGTGGTCCTTTAACAAAAGGTAACAGAGATCTGCCAGTACCTGGTGGAGGTGCCTTTCCTCACATCGCAGATGCTGCATTTAAAGGCTTCCGCGCTGTTTCTGAAGGTGCAGACACTACAATCCCAAAAGCCCTCGTCTGCGGCAGGTTTCGCTTGTCTCTTCGGCCTTCGGGGGAGCGAGGAGCGGGGGAAAGGGGAGGGAAGAGGCAGGGAGCAGGAGAGCGCGAGGGGGAAGAGACAGCAAAACACAGGCGCGGGTGAGCCGTCGTAATTTCGCAGGAATCCGGCGCTGGAAACTTCGCTCGGGCGACCACCCACCCACCCTCCTCGGGGACGGAGAGAGGCACCGGGGGAGGGGACGCGGCGCCCCCGCCGGCGCCCTGCCACCTCCGGCCCGGGCCGTGCAGCCTCGCGCAGCAGGCGGCGGCGGCGCCCCGGGCAGGGCCGCGGCGGGCGCAGGAAGCGGGCGGACTTGTGGACTTGAGCGTGGGGCTGGGGGGGCCGGCAGGGGCGCCGCGGGCCGGATCTGGAGGGGGCGCGCAGGGGCAGCCCGAGGCCGGCGGCGGGGAGTGGGCCGGCGGCTCCCCTCTCCCCTCCCCTGCTCGCGCCCGCCCTCCCTCCCTCCCCACCTGGTTAAATCTCCCTTTGTCTGGGAGGAGTGGCGGCGGCGGCGGCGGCGGCGGAGGGCGGCTGAGGAGGAGCCGCCATGGCTGCGGCGCGCACGGCCGCCGGCCCCGAGCGGGAGCGACACCGCCTCCCGCCGCCGCCGCCACCGCCCGCCGCCGCCGCCGCCTCCCCCCGCCCCCGGATCTCCATCTTAGCAGCGCCTCCCCCCGCCCCGGGTGGCTCCGGGGCCTAGTCGCCGCCGGCCCCCGCCCGCCCCCAGCCCTCCCTCCCCTTCCGCCCCCTCAGCTCGGAGCAGGTACCTGGTCGGGCTCTTCTTGTCGCCCATGGTCATGGATGGGCTGTACCCCCGCCCCCCCCAAAGCCGAAACCGGCGCCGCTCGGAGGAGAAACGCCGTCCAAGGAGTCGTCGCGGACCGGCCCCCCTCCCTCCCCCGCGCCCGCCCGCCCTCAGCCGCTGGGGCTCGAGCTCCGGCCGCCGCCGCCGCCGCCGCCGCTGCCAGTCTCCGGACGAGACTAGTCCCCGCCAGCGCCGCCTCCGCCGAGTGACTGACGAGGGGCGGGGCCGGGCGCCGCGCGTCACGCGCCGTGCGGCCAATGGGAGGGCGGCGGCGGGCGCCGCGAGGGCGGGGGCGGGGCGCGGGGGAGGGCGGGGCGTGGCGGACGTGGGCCGGGCCGGCGGTGTGCGTGCCCGGGAGTGTGTGCGCGCTGGGGGCGCGCGTGCCTGCCGGTGGCCCCGCGGCCCGGCGCGGCGGAGCGTGCAAGCCCAGTGGGGCGCACGTGGCCGCGCCCGGGAGGCGGCTATGGGCTTCGAGCCCCGCGCGGCCGCCCCGTGGGGCTCCCCCCGGGATCCCGGCCCCTAAGCAGCCTCGGGGAAGTAGTTCCGCGCACTTTGCGCGCGCCGCTGGGGCTAGCAACAGCCGCGACGCTCGCAACGCCTCGAGGCGGGTCGAGCCCCTGAGCCGGCAGGGCCTCTTTCGGCTCGGGCTCCCCCGCGCCCTTCTGTCGCTCTGCCGCGCGGAGCTTTGTATCTGCCTCTCCTGAAGTCGCAGCCTCCAGCCCTAAGCCCCTTCCCAGGCCCCTGACGCAGAGGGGACTGTGCAGAAAGGGTGTGGTCCAACTAAAGGTTCCCCAAGGCCGGACACCGACCTCCTGTGTTCTGACTCCCGCTTGAGCCCCCCAGAGCCTAAATAGGGCGTTTCCCTAGGGAAGTTGCTATTCAAATCGTGGCGGCCACGTGCCAGCAGTCTAACCGTGTGCCTCAGTTCCTTCATCTCCAAAATGAGGCTAAAACCCTCCTCCTGGGTTTGTTTGGAAAATTCAGAGACGTAATGCAGGCAGGTCAGTGACTGGCACTTAGGAGGGACCAATACAAAGTAGTGGGTTGAGAACTACTATAACTGGACCTGAGTTGTGCACCACTTGCCCTGCTTTAGAAGATTCTCGAAGGCGAGGAACATAGAGTACCCTTTACTCTCTGCCCTGCTCCAAGAAAGCTTGACAAATTGACTTGAACCTCTGCCCTCAAGCATCATGGAGTCGGGGAGTCGTGGTAGGGGGAGGACCCGAGATGATAAGATAAAAGGCTTGGCTGGGCTGAAGCCCTGGGTGGGGGTAGTGACAGGGTCAAAGAATGATGCTAGAAGTTGGGGAGTGGGGATAGGGGTGTGGAGGGAAGATAAGAGAGGCCCTCAGCGTCCACCTAGATAGGCCCCGTTTATATGCAAAGTGGGTTGTTATCAGGCCGGCCCCATGGAAGGGAAGCATACCAGGGCATGAGACCGGGGAGACTCACGGAGACTGAGTGACCAGGGAGCAGGGAGTCCTAGGATCAGTCCAGGGATCAGAAGGGAGAGAATAAAAGAGGTAGGAAATGTGTCAATGATAAGCTTGATCAGCACACACTGTCCTCTCTGGACGGGCACACCCTGGAGGGCCAGGAGGGCCAGCGCTGTTTAGGAAAGGTCAGCAGCCTCCTGCGCCTTGCTGCCACCCCTGCCTTCTCAAGAACGGAGGGAGGAAAGGAGGAAGAGGAGGAGGGAAGCATGAAGCCAGGGCCAAAGGAGCTAGAGAAAACCAAGGGGCATGCACACAAGCCATGGGTCAGTGCCCGCAGCCTTGGCCTCTGGTGTCTGCCTGGCATGCTCCCAGGACTTGCCTGGTGTGAAGGTACTGAAAGAAAGGGGGCATTAAGAAGTCTCAGCTGGAGGAGTGGCCTCTGGGTAGCTGAGAGCCACAGGTAGGGGGAAAGAGACTAGCTTTATCATTATTTACATAGAGTAAAATGCATAAATTGTTTTGCAGCTCCACGAGTTTTTTTTATATATCTACTACATCTTTGTATCCAGCATCCAGATCAAGATATAGGACATTTTCCTCCTCCCAGTTCATTACTCCCCTCCCTGCAGGTAACTGTTATTCCAACTTCCGTCACCAAAGGTTAGCTTTGCCTGTTCGTGAATGCCATTTACACGGGTCATATGGTATGTGCTTGTGTGCTGGCTGGCACCTTTTGCTCAACATAGTATTTGTGATATTCACCCTTATTGTTGCCTATATCGGTAGTTCATTTTTGTTTGCTTAAGTGTCGAATTCCATTGCAAATACACTATAACTTTCTTACCCATGAGAGACTGACTTGTTTAGTGTATTATTTTTTTGTGTCTTTGACCTGGTTTACCTTTTCAAAAAAAGAAAAAGTTTAAAAGAAAGTTTATAAGAAAAAAAAGTTCCAGAATAGAGAACTAATTTGTAGGAACATATCAGACCCACACCTCACCATGTGGTTGTGATTGTAGAAGCTTTAGTTTCGTTCACATTTTGGAGGTAAATATCTACTGGAAGTCTCATTGTAGTTCGGGAGGCACACTAGACTACTTCTGGAGTGGTGTGCTCTAGAGCAGGATGGCTCCGTCATTCTGGAATGGTAGTTTGAACCCCAGCTGGGTGGAGAAGAAATCTTCCTCCATGGTATTGCCTTTGACCAGTGTGGGGTGAAGGGACAAGTGGGAGTTGACAGAGGGCCCCTCCCTTGCTCCTCTGTTTCCTATCTCGTACTTCCATTTCATGTTCATTTGAAGGAAGGGTTCTACAGCTTTAAAAAGTATTTGAAACCCATAGTTTTAGAGTAGATGCTGGTTAGAAGCACTCCCAAAGAAATGTCTGATGTCAATAATTCCACAGATCCATAGGACAGATTAAAAGACCACATTTTGCCTCACTTCCCATCATTCACTCCACTTCAGTCAAGCTGGCTTCTTTGCTGTTCCTGGAACAGTTGTGCTCCCGCCTCAGGGCCTTTGCACTTGCTGTGCCGTCCACTTGGAATGCTCTTTCCCCAGATAACCACATTTTCACGGCCTCCCTTTCTTCAGGTCTTTGTTCAAAAGTCGCATTCTCAGTGAGGTTTTTCCTGGTCACTCAATCTGAAAATTTCATACACTAGCTCAGAGTCTGATGCCTTGTGTCCCCCTCAACTGCTTTACTTTTTTCTCCTTCGCACTTATCACATCTCACGTACCATGTAGTTGACTTATCTTGTTTAGCAGATCTTTGCTCCAGTAGAACATAAGCTCCATAATGGCAAGGATTGTTTTCTGTTTTGTCCCTGCCCCCCACTGTTATATATAAGTGCCTAGAACAGTGCGGTAAACATAGATTGAAGAGAATTCTTTTGATTTAACAATAATTAATTGAGCAGCAACTAGGTGCCATGCATACACCAGGAACTGGAAGATCAGATAAACAAGATAGACTTGATTCCTAATCTTTTGGAATTTACAATGTAGTTGAGAAGCGCAGTTTTGTACAAGTAATTGGTGACAGTTGCTACAAAGACAAAGCGCAGGATGCAAGGCGAGAGGGCACTAAGGGAGGGAAGGTGTTGATGCAGCTGGTGGTGGGGGGGGGGTGTCCCTGAAAAAGTTGAGATTGCGAGGAGAAGAGAAGGGGAGAGCATTCAGGGACATGGCGTTTTGGAGGAGCTGAAGGCAAGCAGCTGGAGCTGGAGCCCTGTGGGAGAGGAGAAAGGGGGAGAGTAGACCCCTGCTAGATCCTGTGCGGCAGGGTAGCTGGGAGTGGGGTCTTTATCCTGAGTGCCCTGGAAGCCATTGATGAGTTTACCAAGAATGTTGTCTACCTGGGACTGTCTGTGGTCTGCCTCCATGAATGAGATGCTGGGAGAGGCAGACCCCTCGGGTGGGGAGGGAGCAATGGAAGGACCTGTAGATTGACCTGAAATGTGGGCCAAGAAGGGCAGCTCCAGTGGGCATCCCTCCTTTCTTTTGCTCAAGTAAGAAGTAAAAATTACTCATGCTTATCAAAGGAAGGGACTGGAACATTGTTAACTCAGCTTCCTTCTGCCTTTAAATTTGAATTGCTGCTCCCAGGTGGAAAACCTAAATACTCAGTAAGGCTGGGACTTTGAACCTTGGGAATACCCAATAAAGGTATTATAAACAGGGGAGAGGAAAAGGCCTTTCTCCAAATACCTCAGGGTTTACCTCGCCCCACCCGTGCTACACCTTCATTTGGTCTGAGTCCCAAACTGTGACCCAGGGTGTGGTTTTCGCCAATCTGCAGGGAAATGAGAAAACTAAGGGGTAAATGGATGAAAACTTTCCTCCGTCCAAGAAGATTACCAAGAGCTGATTCTCAGAAAAGACTTTTTAATTCTGAAATTATATCCTTCCAATTATTTTCTTTTCTTGAAGGGTTGGGTAATTTAAATGCCCCCTTGTTAATGGAGCGATGGCAATAGTAGACAGTAGTTGCCTTTCTTACAGTGTCCTGAGCTGGCCAAATCACAAGTTGACAGTTCTGTGGCTTCCTAACCCTCTCTCCTCACTAATTTTATTCTTGAAGTTTTAAGCATACCAAGATCTAAATGATGTCAATGAAAGATTCAGAGCTCGTGTTACTGAGGGGAAGAAACAAGAGAAAACTGTATCACATGGTGACTGAGAAAGCCCCCAAGAAGGACAGCAGCTAGGAAGGCTAAGATTTCCATCCCCATTGCTAAGATTTAATGTTCTACTTTGCACTGAATGTTCCTTCCGTGGTTTAAGAAAAAACTTTGTTTCGTGAAGCAATGAACTACCTAGCGTGTCTTAGGAACTGGGGAGAGCCTAGCTCGTTTCTCTTCAGGACTCAGGCTTGTGCTGCTGTCACGGGGCCATCCGCAGAGGGATATTGAAGATGGAATTAGCTTCTAAAGCAGCAACCCTGGAGGCCAAGAGGTGGAGCTTCCCTGACCTTCTGGGTTTGAACCTTGACCAGATTTTGCAACCAACTGCAACGTCACCCGTGCATGTGCTTATCAGAGAGAGGAAGTTTTATTGATCTGCTTCTTGCACAGTAGGAAATATTACAAGTCAAAATGGTCCTGGGTTCTACTTCACACCATTTACAAAAACTAATTCAAAATAGATCAGAGACCT